GGCTCCTGTACAGAACATCAAATAACAACGGCTCATGTACGTGACATCAAACAACGACTCCTGTACAAAACATCAAACATTAACGGTTCCTGTACATAACAACAAACAACAACGACTCATATACAGAACAACAAACAACAACGGCTCCTGTGCAGAACAACAAACAACAACGGCTCCCGAACGGAACAACAAACATCAACGGCTTCTGTACGGAACATCAAACAACAACAACTCCTGTGCGGAACATCAACGACTCCTGTACGGAACATCAAACAACGACTCCTGTACAGAACAAGAAACATCAACGGCTCCTGTACAGAAGATCAAACACCAACCGCTCCCGTACATAACATGAAACATCTACCGCTCCCGTACAGAACATCAAACATCCACTGCTTATGTACAGAACATCAAACGCTCCTCCTGTACAGAACACTATACAGCAATCATCCGCGAAACATTCACGTACAAAACATCAAACAGCAACAGCTTCCATCGTTCATGCAGATGTTACAGTACAGTCAGACATTACTGAGATGCCGTGACAACGACGAATGATGAGAATTGATCGGCAATAATGAATGGATCCTGGGGAAAACCCCAAGAGGATAATGCATGGACACGTTAAAAGGAAGTGACTGATTCGGAGCGGGGGAGGTCAAGGCGATTTCTTGACAGACACCCTCGAAGAGCGGTGAAATATAAGGACCCCCCCCCCCCCCCCCCCCCCCCCCATCCAACCCGATACAGTTGCTAAGATGATTATAGAAAAAGAGAACTATGATGTCAAGCTCGCCCATTTGTCCTGTTTTCCGTCTTTGTTTTTACTGGGGGGGGGGGGGGGAAGGAAAGAGGGGGTTGGAAGTAACCATTGTTCAACTCCAGAATTTGCTGTCCGTAGAGTTGACACTTCAAGGATAACAATCAAACAGGAGTAAATCACAGAAACCATGTACAACCGCCTACCACAGTTATATTAGGGCACCCTTACGCTGTGGCATTTTAAGGCCAGGTCGTGATAATGTCATGCCCCCCCCCCCCCTTCTCCCACCTTTCCATACACATTTTAAATCTTAAAAACACATATTTTTGTTATTTTGACACCCCCCCCCCCCCACAGTGATGACACTCGGTGGGTCCCTAGCTCCCCCGATCATATACTACTGCCCTTACGGTTACCACGGCAAAAATATTTCGTTAGCATACAACAACACCAGGGCGAGGCGGACATCAGGCGACTTGTTAACCAACATTGAACTGGTATCGGACGTTGGGGTTCATACGGGGGGGGGGGGGGGGTCTGAGCACCTATGGACATGTCCGGAGTGCAATGATGATAACTCAATTAACTAAATAACTAACTAACTAACACCAGGACAATGGTCCAGCTGGACAAGCAAAGGGTCCTACTGAAGTCAGTGTCGGATCAGACATAGGATACTAGACTCGTATGTTTCACAGACCAGCCAGCACTCGATGTGCGATGGGATCAACATCATCGCGTGGCTTCTGAAGTCATGGTAATCATTTTAGGTTGGGTCAACACGTGAGCCAAAATCGATTTTATTTCCTAACCCCCCGCCCCCCCCCCTCCCAGGTGGGTATTGGAACCCGAGATCTTCAGGATGACTGGCAACGTCTAGCCACTAAGCTCCTATAACTGTGTCATCTGGATAGAGATATGACGTTACAGCTTTCAAGACAAGTCCGTGTTAGCTTCGACTCCTTCCTTTAACAGCCAGCGAAGAATCTCCATACTGTTTGTTGGGGTCCGTTGTCATCTGGTCAACTGTTCATATTGTCCGCCCCCCTCCCCCCCCCGCCCGAGTCTCGAGTGATGCCCAGAGCCCGCAGACACTCCCCGTTGTCTCTCCAGGTAGGGGGTCTCACTATCTTCCGTTTTACTGGCTACCTGGTCTCGCGGGCGAGAGATCAACATCTGCAGTGAGATCAACATCTGCAGTGCATCATGAGGGACAGTCCAGACAACCCAACTGCCTGCTCGTTTCCAAACAGCCCCAAAGCCCTCAACAATATATCACTGTGACTCTCATTACCTGAGACCTCTGGACTGATGTGTGACCCATCCTGATTCCAACGTCATCAGCATGCTTTGCAAATCCGATAGTATGACAACATGTGAGATGTGAGCTTATTTCCACCCAGCGAAATGCCGTAGTTACCGTCTCAACCTCCACTCTCATGCTGGATGTGGTACTGTCGTATGACAAGCTCTCCTCAGACATCATTCTGCCCCGTAATTTACTCTTTCCGCCCTAGGCTGCTGAACTATCAGTGTAAATGATTACATCGCCTGGCCTAGAGTTGTCATCTATTAACTGTTGAGTCTCTGCATCTGCACGTCCAGCCTATTCCCTGCACTCCAGTCTTAAAGTGATTACCACCTTGTGCAGCTCTACTCTGCCCTCCGGTACATTTACCCACTCCTCTCGTCGGCTGATCTGTTTAACGTAGCAGACAATGCTGATCGTCTTTTCGGACGGTGCCACCAGGGTCTGTCCATCTTTAGTCTATCACCTTTCACAGTGTCCACTTTCCTAAAAAATACAAGTATCTGTATCACTTGCACCTCTAAGACAGCACCCAGCTTGCAGTATATTCTGCGACTGTCAGCTATGGCTGGCATAGCCAGGATATGTCTCATCCCCACAAATGATGTGTCTCTCGCGCACTGCAGAATGGGTGGCAAGCATCGTTCTGTATACGTTTCAATTTCTCCAACTGAGGTTTCGACCCCGATAGCATCCCGGGCCACATCCAATGACTGACATAACAAGAAACTAACTGAGTATGTAACTTCTCCAGTATTCCACTCCACGTTCGCAGCAGCAATAATCTTGAGTTCATTAAGGTCTCTCAGTGCTCTTGATGTTGTTCTTGAAATACATACCTCTATCTAACGTAACTTCCAGACATTTTAATTTGCCCCCTTTTGACCACTCCTCCATTTACTATGATCTTGGGGGAAACCTATGTTGACAACTATAATCAGATAGATACCCTAACAATCACAATAGAAATTTATATTTTATAATGAATAACACACCTACAGAAACATTACATAAAACTCACAATGTAAGATCTAAAAAGTAAGGTCATGGGGTAACGACTGTGCACTAAACAAATATGTAGGCACTCCTCTGAACAACGGCCCAAAATTATCTAGGTCGAAATCCTACCCATTCAGGGCCTCAATAGGTAATCTAGTATAACTATTGATAACTGAAAACCTAAATACAATTAACCCTAAACCTAACCCCTAACCCTAAGGCAAAGAACATCTACATCTGCCACGTCATCAATCGGCAGAACTTTACTGCTAATCTGTGTCGGAGCTGATGGCCTGCCTGCTATATTTGTCGGAAATGAATCCTAATTTTACATATCATTGAGGCCCTAAACGGATTTATCTGTGACCTAGATAATTTGGGGCCGTTATTCGGAGGAGTACCAGAATGTTTACTAAGAGATTTTACTGGATGATCCTTTGTACGTTCATAGTCCGACCACTCGTTGACTTATACAGTTAATTTTTTTTTGGTAAACATGCTAGAAAAAAAGGCTACACCTATCATTGTGTATGTATTAGAAAGCTCGCCAATTATGCTATAATGTGAAGGGCGAGCAGGTTCAGGCTACTGAGTAACTTTTTGCACTACTGTTGTCGCTAATTCAAAGAACCGCCTTTCCATGATCTAAATGCCGTAGCCATAATTCTGCCATGTGATTAAACGTGTGCAATGAACGCCCAGCCAGATTGCTGACCCACTATGTAGTTGAAAACAGGAAATGTTACTGACTAGCTGACCGCAGCAGATAAACAGGTTTGTGCAGTGGGCTCTCATGTGAAGGACCCAGGTTCGATCCTCAGTAAGGGAAGGATATTTTTGTCTGTGTGAGGCAATGATGACAATTCTAAATGTTCGCAGCCACCGCACTAGCCATAAATCCTCAGGCTAATCATCTCCTGCCCTACACACCCTAAAAGTATTTAGTCAAGATTCCAATTTCACTGCAGACAAGCTGCCCATAACTGCTGATCCTGTGCCAGCTGAAATCACACAACATATCCTTAACTGTTCCATTTAGAAACATGTCAGTCAAAGCAAAATCTTGAAGCTCGCACACGCAACTATAAGTAGCACACACAGGCAGTACACACAGCCCTGACTTCAGTGTGTAAATGCTGCTACAAATACATAAAATAGCAGATCTTTGACAAAGACATGACTAGTACAACTATGACTGACTAAATTCAAGCAGGACAAACTCTTGTGACCCCATTAGGAGGTAAAAAGGTAAAGGGCCCTATTCCACGCCTTCAGGCTACTGGCCATATAGGTCTAGACCTATATTTTACAGACCAATCGGCACTCGGTGGGTGATGTGGTCAGCAGGACTTCCAGGACTGTATCTGCTACCCATTCAAGGCTGGGTCGACCCGAGAGCCAATGTTAAGTTTTTGAACAAAGAAAAAAAAAAAAAAAATCCGGCCCCGTCAGGGCGCTAACCTACAACCTTCTGATCCGCACGCGAGCATCTATCCGCTTAACCACGGCGGCTCTCCCGGTAGGAGGTGGGGAGTGCTTTATCTAAACTCAGATGAACATCACTGACAGATGATGGCCACAGTATACATCTGCTGGTTTGTCATGACTGCGGTTTTCATCAACTACGACAAAGAAATTCTCGTGAACAACTGTTGGTGTTGGCACCTCCGGCGGCTGATTTTTGCAATTAATGCATGTGCTAGCAGTTGGATTTTGTCAGAACTGCCGTCTGCTTGGCTTCTCACAAAGGATGGCGATTGGTATTTTAGTGCGCTTTCCAAAGACACATGAAAGGAGCAGTAATGGGGTGACCCAAGCTGAAACAGCAGCTAATAACCGGTAACAGATAACCGACAACAAATTGATAAATGATACTAACAGATGATAGCCATGGCGACAACAACAACGACAACAATACAGTGTACCTACACCATCGTCATCCTCTATGATGTCCTTCCCTATAGACGCCAAAGCTGTCCACTTGCAGTTTGTGGGTGCCCGTACTGCGCATCTCTTGTGGGCCTTAAATTTACACACTGTAACCAGAGAAACATTCAGGGGTTAGTTATGATTGTGGTCTATCTTAGTCATAAAAATGCTACCACAATAGCGATCCTGGGATGCTCATTTATCCAAACCAATCTGCGTTCTTGAGTTATTTAATTGGGTTCTTAATTTATAACGTACCCCAAACACGAAATTCCCGTGGGAAATCCACAGCTGACCTGACAGTCCATTATTTCAAGGGGTGCAAGTGTGCTGTTGTGTGGTGCTGTTTTTTAGTGTTCATCTAGTGTATTCTAACCCTAACCCTAAACTTGGCTGTAGATAAATCGCGAGAAACAAAAACCTGAAAACCCTAGAATTTATTGGGAATGTCTCCCGTGACGTAGTCGTGACGTCAGGGGTAAGATAAATTAAGTACCTTTAATTATTTAATCCAATCTTGTCCCATGATGAATTTAAAAAATGACATAATCATGATACTGTGTACAATTGATTGCGTTGCATATTTCATTAAATCTTAGCTGGTGCATAGTGTAAACATTGCATGCACATATAATGAAGCAATTGAAAACAATGAACCTTCTTAACTGAATTATGCACAGTACACAATTCAGTGTTTCACTGTGTTTTTCACAATTCGGTGTTTCAGTTTTCACAATTCAGCGTTTCACTGTGTTTTACTATGGGAGTCTTATATTAACCAAATGTGCTTTCTGTGTGCATACCACAATACTGTCAATGTGTATACTCTCAAGAGCGAAGTCACTAGGAGGAAAATATTAGGTTACACCTTCTCATTGTCATCGTCACCTGCTAACGCTTACACATTCGAACTGATCACGATTCACCAGTGGTACTGTGATTACTTTTCCGCTTTCGAAGAAGATTAAGACGGAGGAGGAGCAGCAGCAGATAAAGAAGAAGAAGAAGAAGAATAAGAAGGAGGAGGAGAAGAAGAAACAGGAGGAGGACAGAAAAAGGGTGAGGAGAAATAGAAGGAGAGGAGGAGGAGAAGAAGAAGAAAAAGAAGAAGAAGAAGGAGAAGACGAAGAAGAAGAAGAAAAAGGAAGAAGAAGAAGAAGAAGAAAAAGAAGAAGAAGAAGAAGAAGAAGAAGAAGAAGAAGAAGAAGAAGAAGAAGAAGAAGAAGAAGAAGAAGAAGAAAAGGAAGAAGAAGAAAAAAGCAGAGGGAGGAGGAGAAGAAGAAGAATATTCCAGTATGCCGAAAAAAAAAAAAAATCCAAAACCTCAACAGTTCATGACGAGTGCACTAGACAAGCGGCTCCATGTTCTCAGTCTCCAGGACGCCAATAGATCTCCAAACATTAGTAAACACAGACAGGTTTTTACAGACAGTTAACAACTGTTTTCATTAATTACTTGTGATAACTGGCTGGTAAAAGCATGAGGGCCGTGCTGCTGACGTCACCAGGTAGGGCTAACGATGAGTTAACGCAGCGGTTCTCAGACAAGAAATAAACTATTTTCGACAGTGGCGAGGGGTGTATCTAAATGCCTTCTTTAAAAATTTCCAAAATTTTAGCCGACTTTTCTTGATTATTGCCGCGGCACCCCTGGCATACGCTCACGGCACCCCAGGGTGCCTCGGCAACCAGCCCGAGAACCGCTGCTTTAACGCATGGTTAGCCCGACCCGGTGACGTCAGCAGCACGGCCCGTCAGCTGCAGCCGGTCGTGGTTAAAGTAACTGACGGAAACTCAATAAAAAAAAAAACATACAAAGGAGGGGTTAAAGAGTTCCAGAAACAAATATGACGTCAATGCTAATGTCTCAAAGAAAGAGAGTACGTGGGCGACAGAAGGGAAGGCACGCAACATCGAGGAGGAGCAGGGGGGGGGGGGAAACAACTAAGGTAGCCGGTCATTTTCTTTCAGATGCTTGAAGAAAAAACACAGCGGGTTTGTTAATATAGAAAGGCTGCGAGTTTGGTGGCACTTCAGCATTTCTCCCGTGCGGGAGAGAGAGAGAGAGAGAGAGAGAGAGAGAGAGAGAGAGAGAGAGAGAGAGAGAGAGAGAGAGAGAGAGAGAGAGAGAGAGAGAGAGAAGCAGGTGGCAAATTCGATAAAAATCGATTAAGCGAGAATAGAAAATTAGAGGTCGGTTATTACTCAGCACGTTCTTCCGTCTGTGCGGGTTCCGGCAGGGTAATGGCGACTCAGACGAGCACAGCACACGTACACGTACATACAGGGAATCGCCGCGGCGTAGCGGCTAGACGCTCGCCTGTGGATCAGAAGGCCGTGGGTTCGGGTCGCGACCGAGCTGGGCTTCTATCAAACACGTCCTTGCCTCCCAAGTCGACAGAGCCTTAAATGAGCACCAGGAAAAGTCTCCGGGGACTTAAGGCGGTCGGTGTGAGCTGACCACATCTTCTACTTAGAGTCGACACGTCTATAAAATACA